CTGGGGACGTTCTCGTGACTCTGACGTCTCCTCCTCGTATGGCCCTCGGCTGTGGATATTACTCGACGTGGACCCCATGGCTGCCGCCAACCTTCACAGAAGCATCCTAGTCCTATCATTCACACACTTTCCCCACGAGCGACAGTTTTTCTCCTAAAAATAACAAATGACATTCCTTTTTGAATTATGAGCCATGCCTTAGGACTTTTTCACTGTGTGCTCTTCCTGCTCAGTTACACTGCTGGCTCGCGTTAACTAACATCACCACATGTGAGTGTACTACTTGAAACAAGCGAGTAGTCGCCTACAATTGTGTCAACGTTTTTTTGAAATGTTCGGCTGTGCCGATGCATTTCTTGAATACTATGTACCAAGAAGGAGTTCAAAGGCGTTTTGCCTATATTTCCTTTAATAAACTTGACTTGACCCAATAGACCCATGCTATGTCGGAACACTCTGGAGCCGTGCGGGCAGTGGAGACGCGCCTGATGGGTCTTCACCGCGGCTCCTTGTGTATCCACTGCTCTGATCTGTAGAATATTAATGGGTTAGTGCGAGTTCGAAATGCCAAAATAAATGCATTGTTCCAGCGATCGACTAGATCGCATTTGAGTTACTAAATGGAACTGTCCTTTTCAAATGCATTTGCAAAATGGACATAATCTACAAAGGTTTTCTTTATGAAACTGCGACCGGTACAAACCGGTGTATAGAGAATTAATAAAAAGGTAGGAGAAAACAAATGGAAAGAAAGAAATTACTGCATAATTGGTATTTAAGGAGAAAGCAGATCACTGAGAAAATAATCAACCTACGACTTATGAGAAGATAAGGTCGTATTTTATCAGCGAGAATGGCCGGCAGACAAGTGAGAAGACAGCATTAAGGTACAGCAAATGCGATGCCAAGGAGGAGCTTTTAAATTGCCGGTATGTAAGCCAATTAATTTTAGTTACTATCGGACTTACAGTAGGCAACATTTTGAGGATATGCATTTTGGGATAACCGGAAAATAAAAAGGTCGCGTAGAATGGAAAGGTGGGCACAGCCAATATGGGGACAGAGAACAGGTGCGAACGCGAAGGGGCGTTCATAGGCCAATAAAGTCAGGAAAACAGGGAAAGTGGAAGAAATGAGCTTAATTAAACCATGCGAAGTTGATAATCACCATTCTGAGTTATGTAGCGAACCCAGGGCAGTGCATGATAACCACTTTTTTCGATGATTTTGAGATAGTGCACCTTAAAAGAAGAGCAAAAATCTTGAAGATTAAAAATCTGCAATAAAGAGCGCAACAAAAATAATTGCACCTACGAACAGTAAAGACATGTATTTGAAAGGACATGAGACTGGAAGGATTAGCAGTAGACCTAAAATATCACAAAAGCAGTACTTTTTGTGTCTACGCAAGTATTGTAAACCAACACCCGAACAGAACCAGAGTGCAGTTACTCTCTAATCTTTAAGAGAACGACATATTTTTTTCCGTTTTATTACTTTATTGCCAATTCACATGCGATTTCATGTGTTGTTCTTTTTTCCCGACTGTCTGCAACAAAGGATTTTGCAAAAAGGTCTGCTTCAATGTGCTTTTTCTAGAGATGCTTCTGTTTTTATGCAAAAAATTGCAGGTGTTAATTAGCAAGTTGGTTGACTTAAGAAGATCCACGCAGTGTTTGAGAAATGAGACGTGCTAAGCCCTTCCTGATATCTGGTAACTCCTGAAATGGACATGCGGTATTTGCTTCATACTTGCGTGGCCTCCTTTTGGCTACTTCTTATACTGCAAGGGGTCCAATTCAGGGTAACAAGCATATGGCGTAGTTATTATTTCCCGGTT